ACCTGCAGGAGGCCTTGCCTGTTAGCAGCCTGCCCTATTATACCAGAAGCAGAACTTCTGCCTCTTTTCTTCTCATCGAATAAAACCTATCATTTGCTGAACTAAAAGTGGGAATTCTCACCCTTCCATCCAGGTTAGCCGGAAAGAGGCAAAGATCCTGGGACAGTCACGGCCAGAGAAGGCTACATTTTGTCAGTGAAGTCCAAAGGGCTCCTAGAAAAACAAAAATGAGCCAGGCATGGTGGCTCACACCTGTAATTCCAGCACTTTGGGAGGCTGAGGTGAGAGGATTGCCTGAGTCCATGGGTTTGAGACCAGCCTGGGCAACTTGGTGAGACTTCATCTCTACAATAAATCAAAAAATTAATCAGGTGTTATGGTGTGTGCCAGTAGCTCCAGTTACTTGGAAGGCTGAGGCGGAAGGATCACCTGAACAGGTGGACGCTTCAGTGGCCATGAGCGTGCCACTGCACTGCAGCCTGGGTGACAGAGGGAGACAGAGTGAGACTCTGACTCAAAAAAATAAAAATTACAGTTCATCTTTGTAAACCTTTCAATTCCTACCACATGTATTATCCAACAAAACAACAACAACAAATTAAAAAAAAAAAACAGGCTGGGCTCGGTGGCCCAGCTTGTAACCCCAACACTTTGGGAGGCCAAGGCAAGCGGATTGCCTGAGCCCGTGGGTTCGAGACCAGCCTGGGTAACTTGCCAAGACCTTGTCTCTATAATTAAAAAAAAAAAAATTAGCTGGATGTGGTAGTGCATGCCTGCAGTTCCTGCTACTTGGAAGGCTGAGGCTGAAGGATCGCTGGAGCCTAGCAGGTTGAAGTTGGGTTGGCCGTGAGTGTGCCACTGCACTCCAGCCTGGGCGATGGAGTGAGACTCCCACAAAACACAAAAAACAAACAAGTCACTGCAGGCTGGGCAAGGTGGCTCACGCCTATATTCCCAGCACTTTGGGAGGCTGAGGCGGGAGGATTGCTTGAGCCCAGGAGTCCGAGACCAGCCTGGGGCAACACAGTGAGACCTCATCCCTACAAAAAATTAGCCGAGTGTGGCGGGGCTTGCCTGCAGTCCCAGGTACTCAGGAGGCTGAGGTGGAAAAATAGCTTGAAGCCCAGGAGGTTGAGGCTGCAGAGAGCTGGAATCCTGCCACTACACTCCAGTCTGGGAGACAGAGTGAGACTATGTCTCAAAAACAAAACAAAAAAACCAAAAAACAATAAAAAAAGTTGTCACTGCAAATGCTACTTATCTTACAGTCTTTTGAAAAGTACTAACCCCTAAAATGCATTTGTGCACCTTCTGACCCTGAACATGGCTTTGGGGAGTCTTTCCTAAGCGTGTACAAAGTAAACAAGCTCAACATCATTCCACAACAGCCTGATTAAACAGCTTAGGCTCGTCTGTGGTTTTGGAATTTGATGCCTGGTGCACTGACAAGGATCTCCAAGACATATTGAGAAGAAAGCTTGTTGCGGAAAAAGAATTATTTATGAATATGCATCACGGCAGCTAACACTGAGCAATTTCTACTCAAAGAATGAATGAATTCATTTTATCCTCCAATATCTGAGGAATGCACTATTATCCCCATTTTACAGGTGGGGCAGAAGCATAAAAAACATCACTTGCCGAAGGTCACCCAGCTGTGTGGTGGTGTCTGGATGGGAACCTGGCAGTCTGGAAGGATCCACCCTCCGCAGTTACCAGGGGGGAATCTACGGGGAGTGGATATGAAAGCGGATTCAGCTGACATGGCCAAAAAGCATCTCATGTTTTTCTCCAAAATGCAGTTTGGCTGTGATGTCAGCGGTTCCTACCATGTGGCCGTTGCTCGCTGACAGGCTACGTGATGCTGGGGAGAGGAATCTTTAGTCTGTGTCTCCCTTGAATGTTTACAGACTTAGAAACAAAAATCCACCTGTGCTTCCAGGCCTGCTGAAGGCCCTCCCCGAGCACTGGGGCCTCAAGTTGTCCAGTGACCCCTGGGTCTCAGGTCCCTGGGAAGGCACAGCCTGAAGGTGCCTGTCAGCCCCTGAGCTAACGAGCAGGGCCACTACACGGATCTTGAAGCCTCCTGCATAGACGCGTTCCTGTGGAGTGCATGACAAGCTTTGATCCCATGGCGTTGCTGTGGATTGACACGATTCAAAGGAGGAAGTTGAAAAGTACCAGGCAGCCAGGCTCAGTGGCTCACGCCTATAATCCCAGCACTTTGGGAGGCTGAGGCAAGAGGATTGCCTGCGTGGGTTCGAGAACATCCTGGGTAACTTGGTGAGATCTCATCTCTACAATAAATCCAAAATTAGTTGAGCATGGTAGCGTGTGCCTATAGTTCTGGCTACTTTGAAGGCTGAGGCAGGACTGCTGGAGCCTAGCAGGATGATGCTGGGGTGGCCGCGAGTGTGCTATGACACTCCAGCATGGGCAACGGGGTGAGACTCCAACTCAAAAAAAAAAAAGAGGTACCAGGCAGCTAGGGTGGGTGGAATGAGGGTTAGGTGCTAATTCTTCACTTGCCAACTGCAACCGCTACCTACACTTGCCCACCTGACTGGTGAACAGACTGAACATTAAGAGACAATGTTGAAGTTGGGGCGGTGGCTCATGCCTGCAACCCCAGCATTTTGGGAGGATTGTCTGAACCCAGGGGTTCGAGACCAGCCTGGGCAACTTGGTGAGACCTCGTCTTGATGATAATAAATCAAAAAATTAGCCAGGCATGGTGGCATGTGCCTGTGGTTCCAGCTACTTGGAAGGCTGAGGTGGAAGGATCGCCTGAGTTCAGCCTGGGTTTGACAAAGTGAGACTCCAACCCGTGGGTCCGCTGGTCTCAAACCCGCAGGCTCAGGCAATCCTCTCACCTCAGCCTCCCAACGTGCTGGGATTACAGGCATGAGCTCTACTTGTTACCTTTGAAGATAAGATCCTCCTTCTCAAAGAGGGGTGCATACCTCCTGGGTGTGCCGAAAATGGCAAGATAATCACTGTCCACCTTCCTGGAGACTTTGGGAAACCCACTCTTACAATAATACAAACATGCAATGCGTCATGAAATTGGAAGAAACTACAATAAAGAGATTTCTTGCCTGGGGTTGGCAGCTTCAAGCATCTCCCCCCTTGTCCTTGAATCCTGACGGGTTCCCTCTGAGTGATTCAGTTTTTTGTCATTAGAGATACAGGGTGAAAAAGTTTGAAAAGCTTCAGAAGATTCTGCAGACAGTTGTTTTGGTCCATCTGACTCCACTTGCTCCCCCTTGTGACCAAGACCAAACATTGCAATGTCAAGACTAATTAGCTCAAATTTAAAGACTATATGAGATTCATGTAGCAATAAAACTCCGACCCAGTCAGCCACGGTGACTCATGCCTGTAATGTAAGCACTTTGGGAAGGGAAGGTGAGAGGATCGCCTGAGTCCAGGGTTTGAGGCTAACCTGGGCAACCAGAGCCCAGATGGGTGAGGCTGTGGTGGCTGCGAGCATGCCACTGTACTCTAGCCTGGGGCAACAGAGACTCCTACTCAAAAACACCACCGCTGCCGCCCCCCACCCCAAAATCCTGAACCTGGCGCCACTGCCCACACTAAAGGTGACCAGAAAGGGTCCCCTCCAGAAATGCAACCCCCGCCTCCCCTAGGTGGGAGGAGTGACAGAGAGTAGATGAATCCAGTTCCTCTCAGCAGAGACCACTTCTCATTCCAGCTGCAGAAGGGTTAAAATAGGAAAGGGACTAACTTATTCAAACCTCACACAACTTTAGATAAACAGCAAAAACATGAACAAGAGTGAGATGAGCTGGAACATGCCCTAGCAGCATCAAGACAAACCTGGTGTTCCTCTAACCCTTACCACCTGGGGACATGGAGGTCCCGTCACTCTGAAATGGGGCCATCATGGCCACACCACTGAACTCCATCCTGGGCAACAAAGTGAGACGCTGACTCAAAAACACCAGCGAGGTCACCAATGGCTTTTACTCTGCACAATGGCTGGCACACGAAGTCTCTAGATGGATGGTAGCTTCAACATCATCTGCTTTCTTTTTTCTTAGAGTTGAAGTCTCATTCTCACCCAGGCTGGAATATGGTGGCAATCACAGCCTCGATCTTCTGGGCTAAGGCGATCCTTCCGCCTCAGCCTTCCAATAGGGACTACAGGCATGCGCCACCATGCCCGGCTAACTTTTTTATTTATTGTAGAGACGAGGTTTTGCCATGCTGCCCAGGCTGGTCTCGAACCCATGGGCTCAGGCAATCCTCTCACCTCCACCTTCCAAAGGGCTGGGATTACAGGCACGAGTCACCAAAAATAGCCACTATTTAGCTGAATTATTCAATAGACAACTGGAATTAGAATCTTCCACACACTAGAATTTGAGCCATCTAACTCTTGCTGCATGACCCAGAAAAAAAGGCTGGCAGGAATGGTGACAGAGGGGAGGTATCCTCGAGTTAGATCATCCAGTGACATGTCTTCAGGTCTAAAAAGACAATGGGTGGAATTGTCCCACCCTAAGTTTCTAAAGTGGAAGAGGAACAAGCAAATTCTAAAGCAAATTATTTTTATTATCATTCCTATTAAAAGAACCAAGGAAAATGGAGAAAATACGTAAAAACACAAACAGCTGCAATCCAGGGAGTGAACGCAGGAGTGACGTGGGCCTCAACGCGACAGCCTCCGGGTGGTCTGTGCCACATCAGTGACGGGTGGGGCCTGTCCAAAGCGCAGGCGCCTTTGTTCTGGCCCCAAAGCCCCTGGAATCTGCCTTTTAAAAACAAGCTCTCCCACTAATATTCAATTTGCAAGGTCTTGCCCTAATATCCCCGGCCTGGTGACATTTTCTCGCTTCCAGAATCCAGGCTGGAACTCAACTAATCCTAGACTCCAATCAACAGCAGCACACCAGATGCCACCTGTTGTTTGTCAGGGTCTCCGACTCTGAAGGAAATGCCTTCCGCCTGGCATGTTTTTCCTCTCCCGGGGCACCTGTCTGAATCTGGAGCTGGGGTTCCCCTGGGGTTTCATGGGGCCTGAGGCCTGTTCCCCACCTAAGTCACACACCCCCCAGCATGACATCAGGTGGGGAACCGGCCAAGAGGGTGGCCAGAGGCTCCTAGGCAACAAGGCATGCTGGCTCCTGGCAGGCTGCCCCAGCAACCCCCAAGGGGCTGGTGACACCGCAACGGTGTCAGGACAGAGAGGCAGAGGGTGTCCTGAGGTTATCACTCGGGGAGCGAGCAGGCCTGAGTGGCAAATAGCCTGAGCACTGCTGTGGCTCAGTTCTCTGCTCGCAGGCAATGCTGTGTGGTAGCCAGTGACTTCACGCCACCCTTGTCTGGAGACACCTTCACAGGGGAGGGTCAGGGATTACAGCTGGGAACGCTGCAGGCCCGCAGCCCCGGGGCGGCCATGCTGTCGGTTCACTTGGGGCCGAGGCACTCCACAATCCCACTGCCCTTCATGCCATCGAAGAAGAAGAAGTTGTTGTGAGGGGGGTCCCGTTGAGACAGGGCCTGGGGAGGAAGCAGAAAGAGGGTTCAGCTGCACTGCCCCAAGAGGAGGAGAGGGGAGCAAAGAAGTTCTAAAAGCAGTCTACGGCAGTGGCTCACAACTGGGGTCCATCTGCTCCTCAGGGCTACCTGGCAATGTCTAGAGACAATTTTTTTTTTCCTTACTCTGTCACCCAGGCTGGAGTGCAGTGACCCAATCATGGCTCACTGCAGCCTCGACCTTGTGGGCTCAGGCGATCCTTCCACCTCAGCCTCCTGAGTAGCTGGGACTACAGGGCACACCAACATGCCTAGCTAATTATTTTTTAATCTTTCTTTTTTGTGTAAAGACAAGGTCTTGCTATGTTATCCAGGCTGGTCTCGAACTCCTGGGCTCAAGTCTCCTCCCGCCTTGGCCTCCCAAAGTGCCGGGATTACAGGCATGAGCCACTGCGCCTGGCTTGTAGACAATTTCGATTGTCCCATCTCTTTCTCTGCCCCTCACCAGCTGTTTGTCCATGGGGCAATCATTTAACCTATCCGAGCCTTACGCCTTCAGCGCCACAAGAGAATAACAAATGCATTTTCCTGGGAATTTAAAGAAATCGCATATTGCAAAAATCTAAAACAATGGCTAGCACCACAGGGCAAAAGGCAGAACCACTACTGGGCAGAGGGTGGAAAGAACCCCTAATGACAATTCAACTGAGGAGGGCAGTGATTCTTAGGCTGCAGTCCTCATCACCTGAGGGAATACACTGAGTCGAGGGACACAGTGATACAGAGGGTGGTTCTTTCGTGAGGACACAATGCTGCCAGGCTTCCATAGGGCGCAGAGGCCTCGATTCAGAGGGTCTGGATGACGCCATTTAGCAATAGCAGCGATGCCTATCTTGTGGCATTACCAGACACAGCAATACTTTTTTAAAGTACTAAAAAAAATTTTTTTAATTAAAAAAATACACCTCACCAACAAGGCTACCTGCATAATGAACATTTGTATATCCAACCCTGAATTGTACCCCACATCTTTAAAATTAAAAAAAAAATCTTTACTAATGACAGGGTCACACTATGTGTGGCCCAGGCTGGTCTCGAACGCCCGGCCTCAAGTGGTCCTCTTGTCTCAGCCTCCCAAAGTGCTGGGATTACAGGAGTGAACCATTGCACCCAGCATCACACCACTTTAAAGACAAAGTCAGACCCTGAAACTACAGAGTCATATGTACACATGTATCTTTCTGAGGAAAAAGTGCCCATGAATCATCAAAGAGGTGTTTAGACCAAAAGGACTGAAACTTCACCACAAGCTACCACTGAAAGGGAAAGACATCACCTAGGCGAGCTTCCAGGGCAGGGTTCAGCGGCTCCCGGGAGCCCATCAAACCAGGTGGTCAGGAACGGGGTCCACACATCCCAGAGTGCTTCTCCTTGAACTGATGCCAACCCCCTACCATTTCCATATCTATATATTGGGGACAACTGTATCTAGCTCAAGTGGCCATTCTGCCACTTGTCCAGGGAAAACGTACGAAGCCTCTATTCTGGATCAGGGATGGCACGAGACACTGAGGATCCTAGGAGGTCTCTCTCTGTCCATGAGGAGGAGACTAGGTCAGACAGAGGTTTGCTTCTCTGGGCTCACATATGTAATGGGTCCATGAAAAGACTTTCCTGCTCAAGTTTTCAGTGAGAAGGAAATGTGATCAAGCTTGTAACGTGCTGGGCACAGAGTGATGCCCAGGAAGAGGGAGCTGCTACAACTGCAAGGGCGGGGGGCCTTATCAGCATCAATAGCTCAGCCTGGGGGAAGGGCCCAGCATCCCACAGCTGGCACTCCTAGACCCTCACCCTGAGTCGCGGGAGAGGCTCCATGCTTGACCGTGAGCCTGGCATGGTTGCCGTTTCACCATCCCCTCTACTGCCATCGCAGGGATGGCTGCCGTGGACAGTGGGGATGGAGAGGAAGGAAAGATGACGGAAACCTCAGGAGGCGTGACACGACAGCAGACGTGAACAGAAAGCATGGGGCCTGGAAGGATGTGACAGGGGAAGGACGTGCAGGAGAACTCCTAGGTAGCAGACCGGCCCTCCCTCTGTCTCCGCATGTGGACTTCTGCAGGGGTCAGATGGTGCCTCAGGAGGGAAGGTGAGCCCGAGGCCCTGGCCTGCAGGACCTGCCAGCTGGCTGGAGGCTGAAAGTGTGATGAGTAAGGGGGAATGGTGGGAGGAGAGCAGGGCACGGGGTGAACAGGGGGCAAAAGGTAAAGTGATTCCCAAGCAAGATGGGATAGGAGGAGATTCCAAACACACCCAGCAACCAAGAATGCAGAGTACTCGGGCTATCCGAGACAAACAGAAACAAGATGCTGGGTGACAGCTGTCCCCAGCAGGCAGGAAGGAGGGGGCGCAGTAGGACGGGGATGCAGAGAAGCCACTGCAACAAGGGGGTCCGGCCACCTGCCCCGACCTCCATTCTCTATCCCACACAATCCCAGGGTGGCCTCCTAGTGGGACGTCGGCCGAGGACAGTGGTCCTGGGACCCACACAGTATCTTAGGGGGGGTGCCGTTTAAGGACAACACCAGAGGCGCAGCAGCCAAGTGGTGGGCAGCACAGCTTCCAAGTGCAGCCTGCCTGGGCGCAAGGCCCACATGTACTAGCCTGGGCAGGCAACTGCAGGTCTCTGCACCTTGTTCCTCTTTCATAAACCCAGGTCCCAATAGTTCCTGCCTTACAGGCCTGCTGGGAGACGAAGTGAGAGTATTCACCGTAAGGACGTGTGCTCAGTGTGGCTTTCAGTAAACGGCAGTGTTCCTACTGGTGGTGGTGGTACTGGCACTTTAGGCCTTAAAAATGTGTCGGTGCCCATTCCCTAGTTAACAGCTTTTCCATCACCATACTCTTTTTTTTTTGAGTTCGAGTCTCACTCTGTCGCCCAGACTGGAGTGCAGCAGCCGCTCCAGGCCACCGCAACCTCGATCTCCTGGGCTCTGGCGATCCTTCCGCCTCAGCCTTCCAAGTAGCCGGAACTACAGGCGCGTGCTACCACACCCAGCTAATTTTTTTTTATTTTATTTGGAGTCACATTCCGTCACCCAGACTGGAGTGCAGTGGCCGCTCCCGGCCACCGCAGCCTCGACCTGCTGGGCTCCAGTGATCCTTCCGCCTCAGCCTTCCAAGTAGACGGAACTACAGGCGCACGCTACCACGCCCGGCTAAGTTTTGATTTATTGTAGAGATAAGGTCTCACCAAGTTGCCTGGGTGGGTCTCAAACCCGCGGGCTCAGGCAATCTACCTGCCTCGGCCTCCCAAAGTACTGAGATTACAGGCTGAGCCACCAAGCCCAACCCACAGTGACTCTTTACCTTGACAATTTCCTGTGCCAAAATTCCTCCAACCACCGCACACACTGGGGCCATCTCGGAGAAGCAGTACCTGAAAGAGAAGGAAGACAAGTGAGATTGAACACCAGGGAACAGGAGTGTGGAGTAGACAACTGGAAAGTTCACTACGGACTCTCCCAAATAAAAAAAATCTAATACCAGAAAGGTGATTCAGATGGCAGAGCCAATGCTGGCACCTAGGCGTGAAAATGAAACCTGATTCCCCTAGGTTCAGAAGTGGTTGGGAAAGACCTTTGAACTTTGGCAAGCAGGAATTCTTTCACAATACTTTTATTTTTATTTTTAAGTTTAAGGAAAGACTATATCTGTGCCTCCTAAAAATAAGGTCCTACAAATATCAGATGTTTCAGCACCCGGTCACATTCTCGCAATTCTCTCCTTACCCACAATGGGCGGTGGGTTCTATGTGCTATTCCCAGACAAATGTCAGGGAGCAGGCCTGTGTTAACATGCAGGAGGCATGGGACATTTGAAGCCTGAAATTAAAGCACCAGGGCAGAAAGTCTTTACAGCCCACATAGAAACCACCCCTTTTGGGCCCGAACAGTCATCCAGAGAACACATCTTAGCTGATACTGTCATCTGCCCCTTCAAACCACCCAGCTCGGGGGGCAAAACACCCTCCCAAGAGGGAGTATGCTCTGCCACTTCCTGCTCCTGAAGAAAACAGTGTGTGTTAACTGAGCGACCTGAACAGACAAGTGCAAAGAAAGCCTCCCAAGAGGCAATTATCAGGGACCACCCTGCCCCTCCAGCTTGGTGCACATCCTTCTAGGCAGGTTAAGAAACAGAGTGAGAGTCGGGCTCGGTGGCTCAGCCTGTAATCCCACGCCTTGGGAGGCCGAGGTGAGTGGATTGCCTGAGCCCGCGGGTTCGAGACCAGCCTGGGCAACTTGGTGAGACCTCACCTCTACAATAGATAAAAAAAATTAGCCAGGCGTGGTGGCACGTGCCTGTAGTTCCAGCTACTTTGAAGGTTGAGGCGAAGGATCGCCAGAGCCCAGCAGGTCGAGGCTGCGGTGGCCGGGATCGGCCACTGCACTCCATTCTGGGCGACAGAGTGAGACTCCAACTCAAAAAAAGAAAGAAAGGGGAGGGGGTGTGGGTGAGGGAGGGGGGAAAAAAAAGAAGATAAAAGAAAAAAGAAAAAAAGGCAAGTGTACTTCTATACACTAGCAATGCACATTCTGAAGGAGTTAAAAAAACAATTCCACTCATAATTCATAACATCTGAAAGAAGAAAATATTTAGAAGTAAATTAGTTTGACTTTTCTTGGGTTGGAGTTTCACCCTGTCACCCAGGCTGGAGTGTAGCGGCATGCTCATGGCCACCGCAGATTCGACCTGCTGGGCTCAGGTGATCCTTCTGCCTCAGTCTTCCAAGTAGCTGGAACTACTTGCACTACCATACCTGGCTAATTTTTCTATTTGTTGTAGAGATGAGGTCTCGCCAACTTGCCCAACCTCTGGGCTCGGGCAATCCTCTCACCTCCACCTTCCAAACTGCTGGGATTACAGGCATGAGCTACGATGCCTGGCCTTTTAACTTGAAAGGATACTGGATTTTGTCATGTGTTCTTTGTATCTGTTGAGATGATAATGTGATTTTGACCTGTACTTAAATTTTTTTTTAGATTGGAAAATATAGTTTATTTAGAAAGTAAATTAGAGAAAGTGAGAGAGAGAGAACAGATTCACCTCCCCAAAGTAGAAAAAGGGACCAAAGCTAGGAAACAAGGAAGCCATAGCTCAAAGAGCCACATGGCCAGACCAGAATTTTAGCAAAGCAGTGGCCAACCTGTACTTAATTATTATGATGTGTGTGATACACTAACTTTTTTCAGATGTTAAACTAACCTTGCATTCTTGGCATAAATCCCACTTAGTCATTGTATATAATCCTTTATGTGTGCTGTTGGTTTGTTTGCTAGTATTTTACTGAGGTGATATACTATTTCGAAGGAAAAAAAGCAGAATATCAAAGTATATAGCATGCTCACACAGAATAAAAGTGCATTTTTAACAATAAACAGAAATAAAAGACAGGTGCTGTGGTATGTGACTGCAGTCCCCACTACTTGGGAGGCTGAGGAAACAGGACTGCTTGAGCCCAGGAGTTTGAGGTCAGCCAGGACAACATGGCGAGACCTACATCTCTTGGGGGGGGAAGAAAAAATTAGAGACCCAGAATAGTCAAAAATAATCTTTAAAAAAGAACAAAAGGTTGGGAGAACTCACACTTCCTGATTTCAAAGTTAAAAAAACAAAGCTATAGTAATGAAGACAGCATGATACTGGTATAAGGACAGAAATCTAGATAAAAGGAATGAACTTGAGTCCAGAAATAAACCCTTACATATATGGTCAATGGATTTTGGACAACAGTACCAAGATCATTAGATGGGGAAAGAAAATTTTTTCGAGTGGTGCTGGAATCTCCATAATCAAAAGAATTAAGTTGGACCCCAGGCTGGGTGTGATAGCTCATGCTTATAACCCCAATACTTCAGGAGGGAGGACTGTTTGAGGCCAGATATTTGAGGTGGCAGTGAGCTAAGATTACACCACTGCACTTCAGCCTGGGTGACAGAGCAAGACACTGTCTCAAAAAAGTTGGACCCCTGCCTTTATATCATACATAAAAATTAATTCAAAGTGGGTCACAGGTAGAAATGTAAGAGCTAAAACAGGAATCTTTTAGAAGAAAATCTTTATGACCTTGGTAAATCAGGCAATGGTTTCTTAGCCATGATACCAAAAGGTATATGTGAAATTGGATTTCACAAAAATTAAAAACTTGTATTTCAAAGGCTACCTCAAGAAACTAACAAGACAACCCATAGAATGGGAAAAGATATTTGCAAATCATATATCTGTTGCTAAGGAAGCTTGTAAGCAAAATATATAGAAAACTATTACAATTTAACAATAAAAAGATAATTTAGAAATGAGCAAATGATCTCAAAAGAGATTTCCCCAAAAAAAGATATACAAATTGCCAATAAGCACATGAAAAGATGTTCTACATAGTTAGTCATTAGGGAAATGCAAACCAAAACCACAATTTAACACCTTCAAAGACTAAAATAAAAGACAGGCAATAACACTTGCTGGCGAGGATGTGGAGAGACTGGCACGCTCATACATTGCTGGTATGACTGTGAAGTAGTGTGGTCACTGTGGAAAACATTTGGGCAGTTCCTCAAAATGTTAAACAGTTGTTACATGACTCAGCAATTATACACCTTAGCAGAATACAAAAACTTATGTTCCTACAAAACCACGTGAATATGTATAGGGACATTCGTCTTAACTGCTAAAAACATGCTGGGCACAGTGGCTCACGCCTGTCATCCGAGCACTTTGGGAGGCAGAGGTGAGAGGACTGCCCGAGCTCAGGGGTTTGAGACCAGCCTGAGTAACATGGTGCGACCTTGTCTCTACAATAAATCAAAAAATTAGCCAGATCTGACAGCATGTACCTGTGATTCCAGCTATTTGGAAGGCTGAGGCGGAAGGATCGCCTGAGCCTAGCAGGTCGAGGCTGTGGTGGCTGTTGAGTGTGCCACTGCACTCCAGCCTGGGCAACGGAGTGAGACTCCAACTCAAAAAAAAAAAAAACCAGACAGATCTAAAAACAAACAAACCCCAACACCTCAGGATTATATAACAAAAAGGAATAAATTTTACTGTTTGTACATTTTTCAAAAAATATGAGGAAACAAAAATAATATTTACTATACAAAAAAACTGAAAAAGACAAAAAAGAAGTCCCCACAAGAAAAAATCCAGAATAGGGAAATTTTTTTTTTTTTTTGAGTTGAAGACTCACTGTCACCCAGGCTGGAGCGCAGTGGCACACTCACAGCCACCACAGCTTCGACCTGCTGGGCTCAGGCGATCCTGCCGCCTCAGCCTTCCAAATAGCTGGAACTACAGGAACACACCCACCATGCCCGGCTAATTTTTTGATTTACTGTAGAGATGAGGTCTCGACAAGTTGCTAGACTGATCTTGAACCCATGGGCTCAGGCAATCCTCTCACCTCAGCCTTCCAAGGGGCTGGGATTATAGGCGTGAGCCACCATGCCCAGTCAGGAATGGGAATATTTTATACAAAAACTGGCCTGGATACGCCCAAAAAAAGTAGCAAACTATTCCAGATCAGGGACTGGAAACCCTCTCTGACAGAACCACATAATGAGAATTTTTGGCTTTGCAGGCCATATAATCTCTGTTACAATTACTCAACTTTACTGTGGCACAAAAGCTGTCACAGATAATATATAAATAAGTATGCTAATAAAACTTTATTTACAAAAACAGATGGCAAGCCACAGTTTACCAATGGCTCTTCTAGACTGAAAGAAATATAAGAACTGGCCGGGTGCAATGGCTCACGCCTGTAATTCCAGTTCTTTGGGAGGCTGAGGTAGGAGGATTGTTCTTAAAGACTATATATTTCCAAACTGATTCCTAAAAACGTTATATCATTTTCAATCACTCTTGCTAATAATGAATTTTGTAAGTTTTAAAAAAATCTACAAAGGATTTTTTATTTTATATATGGTGTGATAAATATAATACCAGGTGGTCAGCGATTTTCTCTGGATAATGGAATTATGAGTGATCTCCAGTTTCATCTTTGAGTTTGCTCTATACCATCTGACTTTTCTATCACAAATATGTATTTATTTACGTAATTTAAAAGCCATCAAGTTCACAAAGAATAAATATTAATGTAATTCCACTCATATGAGGTATCTGGAATAGACACATTCATATAGACAGAAAGTACACCAGAGGTTACCAGCATACCAGGCAGAAAGCACACTAGAGGGGCCAGGAAAAGAAAATGGGGAATTAGTGTTTAATAAGCATAGAGTTACAGTTTGGGATGAGGAAAATGTCCTGGAGATGGATGGTGGTAATGGCTACACAAATGTGAATGTACTTAATGCCAAAGAATTATACACTTGGCTGGGTCCAGTGGCTCATGCCTACAATCCCAGTGTGTTGGGAGGCTGAGGCCGGAGGATTGCTTGAGCCCAGGAGTTCAGGGCTGCAGTGAGTTATGATTGTGCCACTGTATTCCAGCCTGGGCAACAGAGCACCAACATGCTGTCTTAAGCAAAAAAAAAAAAAAAACAAGCTGGGCGCAGTAGTTCATGCTTATAATCCCCCACTTTGGGAGGCGGAGGCAAGAGAATTGCCTGAGTCCAGGGGTTCAAGACCAGCTTGGGCAACATAGTGAGACCTCATCTCTACAATAAACAAAATTTAAAAATTAGCCGAGAGTGGTAGCGCATGCCTGTGGTTTCAGCTACCTGCTAGGCTGAGGCGGAAGGATCACCTGAACCCAGCAGGTCGAGGCAGCAGTGGCCATGTTACTCTGGGTAACAGTGGCCACGTTACTCTGTGTAACAGAGTGAGACTCCAACTCAAAACAAAACAAACAAAAAAAACTGTACACTTAAACGTGGTACAGAAAAATGGTAAATTTCATGTTATGTGCATTTTAATTTTTTTTTGTTTTTGTTTTTGAGTTGGAGTCTCACTCTGTCGCCCAGACTGGAGTGCAGCGGCCGCTCCCGGCCACCGCAGCCTCGTCTGCTGGGCTCTGGCGATCCTTCCGCCTCAGCCTTCCGAGTAGCCGGAATTACAGGCGTGCGCTACCACGCCCGGCTGATTTTTTGATTTATTGTAGAGATGAGGTCTCGCTGCCCAGGCGGGTCTCGAATCCGCAGGTCCAGGCAATCCACTCACCTCAGCCTCCCAAAGGCGCGGGATTACAGGCTGAGCCACCGAGCCCAGCTGAAATGAAAAGTTTTCATCAAAAGTGGCCAGGTACAGTGGCTCACACCTGTAATTACAGTACTTTGGGAGGCAGAGGTGAGAGGACTACTTGAAGCCCAGGGGTACAAGACCAGCCTGGGAAACCTGGCAAAGCCTCGTCTCTACAATAAGAATTTAAAAATTAGCCAGGCATGGTGATCTGCGCCTGTAGTTCTGGCTACTTGGATGACTGAGGTAGAAGGATCACCTGTGTCTAGCAGGTCAAGGATGCAGTGAGCTGTGATCATGCCACTGCTCCAGCCTGAGTGACAGAGATCTTAACTCAAACAATAACAACAACAAAACCAGCTGGATCCAGTGGCTCACGTCTGTCATTCCAGAACTTTGGGAGGCAGAGACAAGAGGACTGCCTGAGTCGAGGGGTTTGAGACCAGCCTGGGAAACTTAGCAAGACCTCGTCTCTACAATAAATCAAAAAATAAACTGGGCATAGTGGTGCGCTTGTAGTTCCAGTGACTTTGAAAACGGAAGCAGGAGGATCGTCTGAGCCCAAAAGGTCAAGGATGCAACAGACGTGAAGTGAAGTCAGTGAATGCACGCTAGCCTGGGTGACAGAGTGAGACTGAGTCAAAAAAGAAAAAGAAAAAGTAAAAACTATACATAACTTAAATATCCACCAATAAGGTACTGATTAAAAGTTACCATATATCCAGACAGTGAAACATTATGAAATATAAGTGATAAGAATCTGTACTTATTGACACAAACAAGTCCATAATATGCTGGGAAAAGGCTATCCGAGAGTACAGAGGGTGTGCTCCCATTTGTCGTTTTAAATGAAAAAAAAAAAGAAGCCAAGTGTGATGGCTCATGCCTGTAATCCCAGGACTTTGGGAGGCGGAGGCGAGAAGATTGCAGAGCCCAGGGGTTCAAGACCAGCTTGGGCAATTTGGCAAGACCCCCGTCTCTACAGTAAATAAATAAATAAATAAATAAATAAATAAATAAATAAATAAAATTTAGCTTGGGCAATTTGGCAAGACCCCCGTCTCTACAGTAAATAAATAAATAAATAAATAAATAAATAAATAAAATTTAGCTGGGCATGGTGGTGCACACCTGTGGTTCCAGCTACTTGGAAGGCTGAGGTAGAAGGATTGCCTGAGTCCAGCAGGTCGAGGCTATGGTGGCCATGAGTGTGACACTGCACTTCAGCCTGGGCGACAGAGTAAGATTCCAACTCAAAAAGAAAAAAGAGATAACTATAACTATATACACACAGGAAGGCTTGCGAGGCTAGACCCCGAATATCAGCAGTGGTTGCTATGGCGGTTGATGCTCTCCTTCCATTTTCCACTTTGTGGTAACGGGCAAATATTACTTTCATAGTCAGAGAAACAACAAAGCTCTCTGAAAAGAGCATAAATAACCAAATGTAAAGGACAGTGCGAGATCATAGGCAGATGGAGGACACGGGGACTTGTGCACGGCTTTCCTGACTCAAGTGAGCACACTGCTCGGTGTGGCAGTGGGTGCTTTGCAGGGGAGCGCAGCTGTGAGCTGGCAGCTCATTTGCTCGCCGGTGTCCTAGCCCGTGTCAGGGCTGTCTCGCAGCCTATCCACAGACAGACCTCAAGAGGCCACCAAGCACCTCTCACTTAAAAGGCAATGGGGTGGGAGCGCACGAGCACACAGTACTCAAGACACGGGAAAGCGGCTCTGCAAAGAGGGTGGGTAGGGGAAGAAACTCTCGGAGAGAAACCAGGCATCTAACAGCTCATTAGGCAGTGGCTGCCCCTTCTGGGACACAAGGCCTTCAACGCTGCTGGCCAGTGACGCAGAGCCAGACCGTTCATCACTCTAACTGCCCAAATTAGTCACTTGGCTGCACACTCACGCCTGGCGCCCGGCACCAGGGTGCTCAAAGCTGTGGCATGCCCATGACGCCTGGCCAGGGCTGCTGGAACCGAAGGCTGCATGACCCAGTCCTTCCTCCTGCTGTGAAGCACAGAGGAGGCAACACTTGCTTCTCACACACTGGTCCTTCCTCCGGCAAGAGCTCAGTGCCCGGCTGGGTTAGCATGAGACAGGAAGCCCATCCAACTTGCAGTGTCATCAGCCCCTGACCTCCCAGTACCCATGTTACAAAAGCACCTTGAAGACTGCTGCCTATTTTTAGGCAATGGCTTTTTGGGTCAGGGCTCTGCAGGTGGTTTAGAGAGCACTGCCGGCCCCGAATGGGGTAGGGTTCGCTAGTGCCTGCGTGAGGTTCCTAGGCAGAAGTGAAGAAGGATGGACCTAGGGAAGAAAGGGACATCGATTGACTTTATTGGTGAAAAGAAATCAAGGTGGTATGTTGCTATGGGAAAGCAGTAGCGTGGTCCTTTTGCAGCTCATAAGCATGGTGATTGCATTTTCCATGCATGTGTGAATGGTTCCCCCTCAGACTCTGTATGACAGGTCTGAAGCAGCAACTCAGAATCTTCCCCATAGGTATCTGAACTGGGGTCTCTTCCTTTATCTGACATTTAAAAAAAAAAAAGGAGAGGCAAGTTAGTGAGACCTGGGGTAGGAACTTGGTCGGCTACTCACTGCCGGAGGTCTGGTACATAAGAGATGCTCAGCAAGTTGTAGCTATCATTCTATTACTGCTACAACCTGAAGGCACCACAGAGCAGAGATGAGCACGTCCCGAAAGGCACGGAAAGGGAGTCCGAGTGAGCAGATGATCCTAGAACTGGAAGGAGACCCTGTCCTAGTCGCCACTTGGTCTTCTCCAATCAAATCCTTCACCTGAGTGTGTATGGGGGCAAAGAACCTGGCACCTAAAGTGAACGCATCCCGGTACCCAAAGAACAGGCTGCTGGGAACATGATGCCTTTGCTGCTGGGGGTAAAAACCAATTGGCTACCCCTGGAGGGCAAAGTGGCAATATCTAGCCTATCCGAGAGTACAGATGATAAATCACATCCTTATGACCCGGCAGCTCCCTTCCTCCTAATTTATCCTGCAGGTGTACCTGCACACGTACGACACAAGGTCACACGCTGCAGCATTATGCAATAAAAACAGCCTGAACACAACTCGAGTGAGCAGGCGGATGGTTCAGTCAACTACATCGCTCCACAGGCTGGAATACCAAGGAGCTGCGGAAAACAGGGAGGAAACCATGTGCTGATCTGGAAATGTCCCCAAAAGGTGAGATGACAGAAAGTGAAAAAAGAAAGTCCCAGGACAGTGTTTACAGATTTTGCCCTGCCTTGAATTGTGAACTACATGAATATAAACTACTTCTTGTAAAAAGCAGAATCTGCCCCCTCTGTATTTCATACAGCATTATACTAGTGTCATTGCCAGAATGTGGCAAACTGGGCTCTGGATCTCCACGACGGACCCCTCCAAATGAAGGCCAATCCTAACAACAGACGTCTGTCTGTCCAGGTCCAATTGCAATCAATACTGCGACCAACCTGACAAAGTCCTCGGGAAGCAGGTCAGGGCTGACACCCAGGGAGTCGAGCACATCGTTTCGGATCTGAAGCAGCAACTCAGAATCTTCCCCATAGGTATCTGAACTGGGGTCTCTTCCTTTATCTGTGCGGAATTTCAGGAGCACTGGAAAAGGGAAAAGGAAGGTAGGTTATAAAGCCAGCCTTTTCATCATGACTGCTTATATATATCGATCATTTAAAAAAATTTCTTTTTTTTTACCATCAGGGATAGGCACCGAAAAAAATTTTTTTTTGGTTTAAATTCTATAGAAAGTAGTGCATTCATTAAAATGTGGGTCAAGTGAAAGGTACTACATTTTTCATTTGTTCAACAAATATAGTCAGAGAGACAATCAAATAATTAGAAAAGCAATGAGCCTTCCTGGGAGAAGCGTGCTAGCATCAGGGGTATGAGGAAGGTTTCCCTAAGGAAGCCACGACTAAGTGAAATGCACGAGTTTGTGGGGGCGGGGGGAGAAGTTTCCAGAAGAGGGAAAGGCTCTATTAAGACCAAGAAGGGAGGCCGGGGTGAGTGGATTGCCTGAGCCAGTGGGTTCGAGACCAGCTCAGGCAACTTGGCGAGACCTCATCTCTACAACAAATAAAAAATTAGCTGGGCGTGGTAGCGCGCGCCTGTAGTTCTAGCTCCTTGGAAGACTGAGGTGGAAGGATTGCCGGGGCCCAGCAGGTTGACACTGGGGTGGCTGTGAGCGTGCCACTGCACTCCAGCCTGGGTGACGAAGTAAGACTCCAATTTAAAAAAAAAAAAGACCCAGAAGAGGTCAGGAGCGGGAGGCATGCATTCCAGGCATCAGTTCAAAGGCTGCTTCAGCCAGGAAGGCCAGCCAAGTACTTAGACTCATCAGACAGGCAGGTCATTACAAACAAAACCTCCTGTTGTACAAAAACTATGTCAATCCCCAGAAACGGATGTTTCATTCTGGTTGTGAACCAGAGGAAAGGTTCAGATGATGGCTGAAGTCAGCGCCACTGTGTAGGGAGACCCCAACAAGGCTAGAACTTTTAGCCCAAACAAAAAGATGCAGACAGGAGCATCAGACAGATCAAAATACAAGCAGCTTCTACTGCCAAATCCATCTTGTCCGCGGGGGTGTTGTTCCCTACACTTACTTTTCCGAGGAAAAGGTGGGCTGGCCATGAGCCTCATCTCTGAGGGCAACAACGCGCAGGCTATTTCAGAGCAGAAGTAGAGACATGTGAGTCTGCCTCTAGACTCAAGCACTGGGTGCCCTGGAACAGTACTTCACACCCGGAGGGGGCTTTATAACAGTTGGCCAAGTTTTTCCACTCATTTCTCATCAGTATTTGCTGATTGAAAAAGTGAACGTATTTGGTAAAGTATACGCTATGTGCACAAGAAGTTCTTCCACAAAATGTAAGGTGGATTGAGAACTATGAGAAGTTGTGGCGAGGCTCTTTAGAAATCCAAGTATTTGGAACCCAACCCAGACTGAAGAACCAGAGTCATAATTTTTTTTTTTTTGGGGTCAGAGTCTTACCCTGTCGCCCAGGCGGGGGTGCAGTGGCCCGCTCAAGGCCACTGCAGACTCAATCTGCTGGGCTCCAGCGATCCTTCCGCCTCAGCCTTCCAAGTAGCTGAAACTACAGGCACACCACCATGCCAGGCTAATTTTTTTATTTATTGTAGAGACGAGGTCTCACCAAGTTGCCTGGGTTGGTCTTGAATCCCTGGACTCGGGCAATCCTCTTGCTTCGGCTGCCCAAAGTGTTGGGATTACAGGCTTGAGCCACCATGCCTGGCCCAGAGTCATACTTTTTAAATGCTCACAATAGTTTTGGTGATGACAACCCAAAGTGAGAATCATTCTCCAAGAAGCAAGAATTCATTAACTCAACCAGTCTGAGCATTTAACTTTTTTTTTTTGAGTCAGGGTCTTACTCTGTTGCCATGCATGATTATGACTCACTGCCGCCTGACTTCCTGGGCTCAGGTGATCCTTCTGCCTCAGCCTACCGAGTAGCTAGACTACAGGGATGCATCACCACACCTGGCTAATTTTTTGATTTACTGTAGAGACGAAGTCTCATCAAGTTGCCCAGGCTGGTCTCAGACTCCTGGACTTGTGATCCTCCCGCACTGGCCTCCCAAATGCTGGGATTACAGACGTGAGCCACCACGCTTGGTCTTAACTTCTAACTGTGCAGATATGATGCTGGTATCCCAATTCGCACTAAACATGCTGCTAGTATCCCGGTATGTAGTAAATGCAACTCAATTTGCACTTGGGGGTAGGTGAGAAAAGAAGTCATAAGTAGCAGGTATTCCCTATTTGGACTAAATCTCTTTTCCAACAATGTCCCATGAAAACAAAGGAATCCACATATACAGTTTTTTTCTAATAAATACATGAAACCATGCTTAGTTTCCCTTTTACAAAGTGGGCCTTTTCTGTGACTTGGGCAAGTCCAGAGCAGAGGCTACTCTGATGGGACTTCCTCAAATGTCAAAGGTAATCCCTGATCATTGCTCCTGAAAGGACAGAGCAGTAAGACCTAGAATGGGTATCTGTGTTGTCTAAATAGATGATGGTGGCAAGGCCAAATGCAGGCTGCTCAGATGGCATAATCTAGGACCTGGCAGCAACCATGCGGAAACTGAGCAAGGCTGCCTGCTTCCAAGCTGCCTGGGCAGTGGACAGCAGCAAGAGCCCTATGCTAGCTAGCTCTGTGCCATCATATCTCTGTGTCACTGGGACAGAAGTGCCAACTGTCACAAGGGACCAAGAAGAAAAGGCAAGCTTTTAAGCCCTCACCACAAAAGTTTTCATCTTTTGGTTAGAAAACACAGCTCTGGGAGTACCAAAGCCCAAGCTGGGCAGTGCCTGCTACATGCCAGGCACTATGCACTAATACTCATCCAGTCTCCACCATAACCTGGTGAGGGGGGTCATTGCTATTACCTTCCCTGCTTTACAGAACAGAAAACTAAGGTTCAGAGATAGTGAGTCACTGAGTCACTACGACTGCCAAGAAGCAGTGGAGCAGAAATGTAAACTCTGAAACTCTAATCAGGCCTCAGAGTCTGAGCTCTTTTTTTGTTTTTGGAGTTGGAGTCTCAATCTGTCACCCAGGCTGGAGCGAAGTGCCCATGCTCATGGCCACCACAGCCTCGACCTGCTGGGCTCAGGTGATCCTTCTGCCTCAGCCTTCCAAGTAGCTGGAGCTATAGGCATGCCACCATGCCCGGCTAATTTTTTTATTTAGGGTAGAGACAAGGTCTTACCAAGTCACCTGGGCTGGTCTTGGAACCGTGGGCTCAGGCAATCCTCTCGTCTCAGTCTCCCAAAGTCCTGAGATTATAGGCGTGAGTCACACCTGGCATGAGTCTGTGTGCTTCTTAAATCTTAATGGAATATGTAAGAAATAGCAAGCCGGGCTCGGTGGCTCAGCCTGTAATCCCGCGCCTTTGGGAGGCTGAGGTGAGTGGATCGCCTGAGCCCGTGGGTTCAAGACCTGCCTGGGCAGTGAGACCTCATCTCTACAATAAATCAAAACATCAGACGGGTGTGGTAGCACATGCCTGTAATTCCGGCTACTTGGAAGGCTGAGGCGGAAGGATCGCCGGAGCCCAGCAGGTCGAGGCTGCGGTGGCCAGGAGCGGCCACTGCACTCCAGTCTGGGCGACAGGGTGAGACTCTAACTAAAAAAAAAAGAAAGAAAGAAATAGCAGGTCGGCCGGGCATGTGGCTCAAGCCTGTAATCCCAGCACTTTGGGAGGGCCAAGGCAAGAGGACTGCCTGAGCCCAAAGGTTAGAGACTAGCCTGGGCAACTTGGTGAGACCTTATCTCTACAAAAAAATTAGCTGGGCATGGTCGTGCACGCCTGTAGTTCCGCCCACTTGGAAGGCTGAAGTGGAAGGAATGCCTGAGCCCAACGGGTCAACACTGGGGTGGCCATGAATGTGCCACTGTACTCCAGCCTAGGCAAAGTGACAGAGTGAGACTCTGATTCAAAAAAAAAAAAAAAAAGAAATAGCAGGTCCCTGCGGGACAGCACCTAGGATTCCAAGTGGTCTGGCTCTTTGCCTCGAACCTCAGGGGTGCCCCCAATTAACCACATTTTTGTGAGAAGTGTTTTTCCAATGGGCCCTGTACCCTTGCAACTGGTCCATTAATTTTAAGCTCTATGTTCAGCGGGTAGGAAGAGAAGGCGGAGGTCACACAAAACCCTGCCTGTCAATGTGCAAGGAATAAAACCAGCTTCATCTTAGAAAGAAACAAGATGGCACTAAGAGGAGGAGCAAAGGCAGCCAGCAGCTGGCCGGCTGTTTCTCTGGGCCCCTTGCCTGTTCCTGGTGCAGTCTGGCTGGACGAGGGCCGGCAGGCTGGCACCGTCCACATACCTCGCTGACCACATCTGAAGTCCTCTCAGGGCCTCTGGGAAGGGGGCCAGTCAGTCCAGCCGCTTATTTGTAGCAAAGCAAACAGAAGTTGTCTTTTTTCACTCTTTTTCGAAGGTCAGCACTCCGGTTAGCAGGGGTGGAGGGGGGCAGGAAGAAGCCCAAGCTCTAGACAAGGCAGCAGGCTCAGAACTGACCCTAGCCCCTGACAAGTTCTTGCTTATTAAAGGCTCTTTGTTCTGCCTTCCGCCCCTCCCAAAGGGCCCCAGGCGCACACACACACACCCTACTGTTGACTCTGCATTTCTGAAGAGCACCTCCCCACCAGTTTACAGATGATAAAACTGTTCCGTTAAGATCAAACACTGCCAGGGATGGAGTGCCGCTCTGCCAGAAGATGACTCATCGAATCTTATCAAAACACTGCACAAAATGAGAGTTCCAAACTTGATTAACTTCATCCGAACCATTTAATTAACTCAGGTTGCTGAAGTCTGGGGGGTGGCAGTCATTGCTGGAGATGTCGGCCTAGCGTCTCTGCTTAGATTCAGGACTTGCCCAAGTCACCGAAAAGGCCCACATTGAAAAAGGGAAACTAAGCATGGTTTCATGTATTTATTAGGAAAAAACTGCATATGTGGATATACTGTCCCTGTGGCAAAAATATTTAAATATTCAAATTCAAATTTAAAATGAATCAGAATATCAGATGAATGCTTTAACAGGAATTTGCAAAGCAATCTTATTTTTTTTTTTTTGAGTTGGAG